GGAGAATTACCGATACAAGGAAATATGGCTAAAGAAAGAAACCGTAGCTGATTCAATGTGCGAATCAGAGTACATCGCAGCGAGCGAAGCGTCGAAGGAGGCAATATGGCTAAAGAACTTCATTGGTGATCTTGGAGTTGTACCGGCCATAAAGGAGCCCATGGAGATTTTCTGTGATAACGAAGGTGCGGTTGCCTTGACCAAGGAACCGAGGGATCATGGTAGATCTCGACATATCGACAGAAAATATCACTTCATTAGACATCGTGTAGAAGAAGGACAACTCGTAGTGAAGAGGATATCATCAGAAGATAACCCAGCACATCCACTTACGAAGGGACTGAGTAGGGTTAAGCACTTGCAACATGCTAGGAGTATTGGGCTGAAGGATGATATTAGTATAGATTAGATAGTATTAGAAACGTATAATAGATAAATGTAATTAACATTTGATGATTAAATAAAGGAGTTTTATTTATGAGTAAAGTTACTGTCACATGTTAGTTGTTTAACTATTGTTTCACTTTGCATGTTTTGACTTCCAGAATAATTGAGTTTATTAGGAATAATCGAATTATTCAATTGGTCCACAATCGTTCATATGTTGGGAGTAGATATGAATGAAGATTGTTATGAATTGGTGTGTAGAATGTCTAAATGGTGTTAGACATAGCAAGGGTTGCTGCAACATTCATGAGTGCTTATGAACTGGTTTTGAGCATTGGAATAAACCCGCGCTTGCTGGAATCACCTTATGGAATACGATATAAAGGTGATCGAAGACGATAATATCATATAGTCTTAAAACCTAGATATATGGTTTATTATTGTTAATTGATTGTGCATTGATAATGCGAAAACGCATCAGTAACTTGATGTTATAAAACGCATTGTTGTGTATTGTTGGTTAATGAATAAGTAAATGCATATAAGTCGAAGTTTATCTGTAAATTTTATCCTAAGAGGGTAGAAGAGATATCTTGGCCACTCGATGATTTGATTTGACTTATGTGCCGGGCCCGGTCAGAACTAAATTGATGTGTTCGATTAAGTTCTATGTCGAATAAATCGGAGATCGAGAAATCTAAATGCTTGACTAACCATTCCATAGGATTGTCAGCATGATATCTAACAGAGGACTGTACGATTCCTTATCTAAAGGACAAGATTGATTAGATCAGAGTTGACAGCGTCTTTGAGAGCTACGATTGCAAACCGAATTGTACTTGTATAGTTACTAGACTTATCCAAGTGGGAGACTGTTGGAATAGTGTCTAAGGCTATAACTATATCCGGTTGTGCATGGTCCTTTTGGGTTGCCTTCACCATAGCAACTTGAAGGATGATTTGTTAAGAGAGAGTAAATATTATAAGGAATAATATATGGCTATTTGATTAATATAAGTCATAAATTAATTGGTATTAATTTGGTGACTTAAAGAGATTAATTAAATAAGAGGGTATAAACTGTCAATTGTTTGATAGTTACACTTTAGACTGTAAATCCTTATCCTAGATAGGATGGACGATTTCTAGGGCTTGGATAAGCCAAAATCATCCATAGGGTTATCTATGGAATGGATTTGGATAGCCTTAAGAGAAGATTATCCAATTAGGGTTTAGGATGTAACCCTTAAGGAGTCTACAAGTATAAATAGACCCTAGGGGTGAGGGAATTCGACACATAACCTAAAGTAAGGAACCTCTGGCCGAATTCCTCCTCTCTCCTCTCTCCTAAATCATCTTGCTTGCTATTGGTGTTTGTAAGCCATTAGAGGAGTGACATTTGTGACTCTAGAAGCTCCAAGACAAACAAGATCAACAAGGAACTCAAAGGTATGATTCTAGATCTGTTTCATCATTGTTATTTAACCTAATTAGCTATTAGAAGTCTTGGATTCAAAGCATGTTTAATTAGAAAGCCTAGATCCGAGCAATAGGGTTTTGCATGCGCACATAGGAAAGTTCTTATGGCTAAAACCCATCAGTATTAGCATTCGAGGGTTCGAGTTTCTATATGTATATATGTATAACCCTATATTTGTAGGCTAAGGAATATAGCTAACCTAAAAGAGTAATCCCTAGGCTATAGTCGCGCTTTCCTAAGAAAGTACTAGTTTGCTATAGCCAATAGCTTTGATACCAATCTGTCACACCTTCGGCTGACGGCGGAAACGCCGAAGTGCATGACGTAAATCAATAATCACAGTTATTCAACATACATTGAACAATACAAATATAATGTTTTATTATTACCGAAATGAAATTACATTGACAAGACTATTGCTGAATACTACACACGCCTAACAATCTGGCATTCGCAATTGTGTGATAAGAATTTCAGAGGATCTTCTGTATGAACTCTTCCGACCTTATAAATAACCTGAGAATACATGCATTAAGATACATCAACAAAATTGTTGGTGAGTTCTACAGGTTTTGACACAAAGTATTTTTATACCAAAAAATGTTTTATAAAATGTATCTAGTTGACCAGCTTTTATAAACACGTATTATTCTATCGAAAGTATAAAATAATTGAATCATAAAAGTATATTTAAACTCATTTAGAATTGTAATTTGCTCAAATCCAAAAATACACCATTTATAATATATATATATATATATATATATATATATATATATATATATATATATATAAACCAAACCGATAACAAATTCTCACCGTTCCCATTTCCAAAGTGATTTTTATATAAAGATTTTGAATATCAATTTATATAAAATAAAGTTATATCACACTTAGTGAAAACATAACGTAGCCAAGTGTATTCTTGAAACCTTGTACAAGCATTTATATAGTTTATATGTAAAACTCATAATTTTCGAATTTTATAAACTTTGTAAATCCGTGTCGTATTATTAATTAAGCAGTATCTTACTTAATTTGAAAATTGGCACTTAACCAGTGGGACAAACTCATCCCAAAATACTTTTCAACAACCGGTAAATTATAAACACGTATTTTTGCCACTCGTATAATTTCAACGTCAAATATTAATTATTCTCTTTACAATTCTGTTATTTGAAACATCTCTGCGTACGGATAATTTTGTTGTTGGGAGAGGTAGTTAACAACCTGAACACTCTTACACACTCGGCCCAAATTGGGAGGATTGACTCAATCTAGACATATACTTATTCGAACAAAAATCTTCAATATAACAATTTTTCTATAACTGACACTATTCGTCGCTCCTCCACAAGCCATATAGGCACAATAAACAAGCCACACAAGCACAATATAAATAAAAATGGAGGAATCAAGATCGTTACTAACGTTTAAAAGCAGTCGTATAGTAACGAAGAAAGAAACACTTGACGCATGTTGCCTTGTCAAAGGAAGTTGTAGTGTTTCCTTGTTAGACAAAGTTGTAGCTAGCAACCATAGATGGAAAATAACAATTCACATAAATCTTTCCAAAAGAAATATATCTACATCAATTGTTCTTTATTATAAATCTATGTTGTGTACATCGACCTACAATATATGATCCGTCATGGATTAATGGTTATAAAGCTAGGTGTCAATTTAGGATTTGATCCTTACGAAGGAAAAACACACCATCATAAAACTCCCTCTTTCACCCCTTTTCGATACATTTCTCTCACAAGCACACACATGATACACAATCCGAAAAATCCATGATGACAATTCTTCGACTCATAAAATTCGTCATTCACTAGGGTCACTAACGCAAATCTTAGATTATTAAGATTTTTGAAGCTTAGTGAATTTAGTTAAATAGTGTTCAACTATTGTGGCGATAATCATTTGAGTAGTTCCTTACTTCAGCCGATAAGGAGGATGTTCGTTCGCGTAGCCGAATACTCACTTATGTCGATATTCGATAAGTTGCATAATTTATATGATATATAATTTATTAGGTAATAATCCCCAAAAATTCGAGAATTAATTATATTATCATATGTGACGAGTTTTGTATCACAACTAAAATGATTTATATTTTTATAATAATTATAAAAATAAATTATATCATTTACTTAGTAATTGTTTCCACATTATGATCGGGAGTATAAAAATAATAATTGATTTTTGGTATTTTTTCAATTAATTATTATATATATTTGTCAAATTTTCGTTTATAGTCGTTTAAGACAATGTACATTTCATTTGTACACAATTATATTGAATACCATATTTTGTTATGGGTATAATGTCTTTTTATGCTTTCTCAATATTTTCGCGCACAAATATACGACGAATATTACAGTTTAGGATTCGTCGAATAACTTATATAATTATATCAATATACTTATAAACCTGTGATTTTTATTAATATTAACTAATATGTCAAAACAATGTATAATTTGATCATTTATAGCATTCTACTATAACTTATATAATTTATTAATGCTTTATACCTTTTAGATTGTTATTTTCATAAACTCTTAACCAATAATAAAATATGATGCAGTTAATGCATAAGATTTGAAAATCATCAAAACTTTAAGTAGACACTCATGTATTCTCCGCCAAAATTAAGAATGTAAATGAGGGACCGTAGAAACTCACATTCGATGCGTGATCTCGATTGTTGAAGCTTGTCGTGAGGAACCGTAATTTACACCTTTGTAAATTTGGAACAAACCATCAGGACTATTTTGATTAAAGTAAAAGAGAACCCGATTTGATTTGTAGTTTAATTAACTAAAATGATAGTTTTGGTGAATCAAAACAAATAAGAGAGAGCTTTGGTGTATTTTAGCAACTGTAGGGCTGTTTTGGGAAATAATACAACAAATGGGGGTTGTTTAGTAAATTCCTTAACCACAAGAGATCAGTTTTGATAAATCGTTTCAAATGGGGTTTATTTTGGCACCACGCAACATTTGTAGGGGCTGATATGGCTATTTATTATAAACAAAGGATTTTAGGGCTTTTGCGCCCTCATCTTGCCCGATCGATCAAAAGAAAGAATCAGACGCGAGGAACAAGCGCAAACGACACACGCACGCCTTCAGCGACTCATCCGTCGAGCGAAGGGAAAAGAAATCGAAGGCGGCAGCAGGTGGCTCGGTGGAGGAGGCCAATCGTAAAGAGGAGGACTGACAAAAGGGACTTCGGTCCTCATCTTCGTCATCATCAGACCGGAGATGTGACTGGCGAACGAAGGCAGCCAAGGGATGTACTGGTGGTGGCTAAGAGATAGCGAGGAGGGGAGCACCTCCGGTGCTCGGTTGGTCCGAAGAAAAAAGAAGAGAAGAGGCAGCGAAGCTGCTCTCTTTTTGCTTCGGCAGTGAGATACGAAGGGGAAAAATGGGCGGCGATAGTAGTTCCGGTGGGGGGTGTTTGACTTCTTAGTTTGACAGTAAGCAAGGACCACAACGTGAAGGTCTTGATGTCTTCTTGATTGCAAGAAAATCCCCACTTTTGGTGGAGGTTTGGGTTGATTCAGTTGACCGGTAAGTGCACAAGAAAGAACCAAGTGGCTGTTGCCCTCTTTGGTCTCGATGCAACAACCAACCACTTTGGTGGTACCTTGGCAGAAATTTGTGAAGAAGAAAAAGGAAAGAAGAAGCAATTCTGGATCAGTGATTTCATGACTGTTTTGCAATTTCAATCGACAGGGAGAAGAGAAAGGGCAAGAGGTTGTTGCCTCCTTGATGTTCACTGGAAATAGTAACCACCTTCGGTTGTTACTTTGACAGCCCAAGAAGAAGAAGACGGAAGAAAAAGTTCCTAGACTCCTTCGTTTTTTGATAGCCACCCTTTGAGAAGAGAAACAATAACAAAACAAAAATGAAGTGTTTTCCATTGTGTCTAGTTTAGGGTAAGTTGAAGTATAGGAGAAACATCACTTCAATTTTCTTTATTATTGTACTTTGAGGTAATTTTAGAAGTAATGTATTGCTTCAATTATTAACATGTATTTGTGTATGTATAATCATGTATTTGTGTATGGAAAAACATGTATTTTGTATATGTATTAACATATTCTGTATATATGTATTGAGTGATGTGGTGGAAAATGCAAGTTTAGATGATACAGATATATTGTTAAAAGTTTAAATTCAATTATGCTTTCAAAGTGCCAAAAGTACAATGTCATATTTGAATATCTTAAAAATGATGATATTTTCTAACATTCTCGATTCTTGTGCCATCGATCCGGATATTAAATAATTTTTCTGGAAATCACAAATGATAATCTCGGTTATAAGGTTTCCAAAAAGTCAGACGAATCTTAAATCCGATAAGTGGAACTCCGGGAAAATCCGTTTAAAGTTTCGTGATTAATAGGATTGGATTCGACAGATTTTTCAAATCTGATTTCCGTTGAGTTTTAAAATATTATCAAAATATAATAAAATAATAGACCATAGTTAGAATTCAAAAATGTGTTCAAATATGGTTTACGAGACTCGTAGTTGTTCCAAACGAAATAGTGTATGGTTGTTTCAAGAAAATCTAATAAATACTGATTTTTATAATTTTAAAGAGTCGTAATTTTCTCATACAACCTTTGTTTTGGTCGTTTCGTTATATCCACGAAATCTGGATAACAAAATATACTCAAATATCTATTCCATAACTTTAAAATATATTTAACATAAATTTTTATTTTTAACGCCACCAAAAATTAAATTGATGGCGATTTTCGATTTGATCTCAACGATAGAGGGTTTTAGGCCGCTTGAGTTATGAATATAAGTTATTTAATATACTTTACAAACATAAAATTAAATGTAATTGGTCTTTATTGCATAGCGGTTTGACCACCGAACTCTAACCAATTTTTACCGGTTGTTACAGATATCGGTTGAAAAGGCGAAGAAAGAACCGGAGTGGGTCAAAGTCATGCATGCAGAAATCAATTCGATAACCAAGAATAATACTTTGACTCTCTTGAACAAGCCTATGGGTTGAAGCCAATCAGACTTAAATGGGTGTTCAAATTGAAGAGAAATGTGGACAACACCATTAATAAATTCAAGGCAAGGTTTGTTGTTAAACGTTACGTGCAACAACTCGGTATTCATTTTCATGAAGTATTTGGTCCGGTAGCTCGAATAGAAACCATCCGAATTATTATAGCCTAGCTGCTACTAATGGATGAGAGCTTCACCATTTAGATGTTAAAATAGAATTCTTGCATGGAGAATAAAGAAAGGAAACTAGCATAAAGTGTTTACATATCGCAATCGGAAGGATAAAAAGAAAGGAAACTATCATAAAGTGTGTAGCCTTACAAAAGCACTATATGGTGTGAGACAAACACCTTGAGCTCGGAACATGAGGCTTGACGTGATTTTGAAGAGTATGGAATTTCAAAAGTGCATGAAAGAACCATCGGTGTACCGAAAAAATGAAGGAGCTAACTTCTTGATTTTAGCGGTTTATGTTGATAACTTATTTGTCATAGGTACAAGTTTGAGCATAATTAAAAGATTCAAGATGGAGATGTTAAAGAGTTTCGAGGTGTCAGATCTTGGAAGATTACTTTACTAACTTTGGCATTGAAGTTAAACAAGAAAAACATGGGATTACTATAAACCAAGAAGCGTATCCTCAATGCATTCTAAAAGAATCTAGTTTACATGATTGCAATCCGATCCAAATTGAACTAGGAAATAAATTGCAGAAGGCCAAAAATGAACCCAAAATTGACATGCCATAATACCAAAAGGTAGTAGGATGCCTTAGATATCTCCTCCAAAGAAGATTCGATTTGGCATACGCGGTCAGAGTTGTTAGTCGATACATGCAATGTCCAAGAGAATCACATGGTGGTGAATTCAAATGTATCCTAAGGTACTTACGAGGAAAAACAAGATACATAATAAAGCACGAGAGGATTGGACAAAACCGAATCATTGGATATAGTGCTAGTAGTCACAATGTTGACCCGGATGACGAAAAAGGTACAAGCGATCATATTTTCAACTATGGGTCATCCCCGATTACATGGTGTTTTCAAAAACAAGATACCATTACTTTATCATCTTGCAAGGTCGATTTCATGGCAGCCACCACAACCGTATGTCAAAAAAATATGGCTTTAAGATTTGTTAGGAGAAATCATGAACAAAGCACAATAGAAGCTGGTTCTAGGAGTTGATAAGAATTCGACTATCAAACTAAAGAAGAATCACGTTTTTCATGGAAGTCGTAAACACATCAACACAAGGTTTCACTTCATTCATAATTATGTTGAAAACGAACAAGTAGATGTGGAGTACATTCCCGGTGAAGAACAAAATACGAACATTCTTACAAAACCACTAGCTCGAACCAAGTTCAAGGAAAAGTGGAGCTTGATTGGGATTGAAGAAGTCTCTAGAAGGACTTAGAGATTTGGGGGTGATTGTTTGAAGCCTAAGTTACGTAGGACCTTGGAGACCAAGCAATCTAGTATTTGGCAAGTCGGTCTAAAGCTAGTTTCCTTATTCTATGTTACAAGTCAGTATCTTGGATTATATATACATTGTTTTAGATTGAGTTATGATCATTGAGATACATTGTAAACACCATGAGTTTTGAATGATTTTCTCATAATAATCAAAGATCTATTTTGGTTAATTGTGTTTACATATTATGAACTTGACGGTTAACTTGAATTACCACACTATCCCTCGTATATATTATTAGATCATCAAATGTGCCAAAACTTTTTCCATTTCAAACTCTCATTTTATGTCTATGGTATTAGAGAAATAGATATTCAATAGAAACATTCTTGATATTGTATTATATGTTGATATGATTCTGACATTTTTTGAAACAATCTCACCATAAAGGTTCTGAAGTTGCAACAAATTTACAAAGAATTCAAACGATCGGTCAACGGTTATGGATAACCTGAGCAATTCCACTTTCTAACTTTATCAATTAAGTTGTTCTTATTCAGAAATACATGTATAATTTGAAATTTTCACAAATTATTCATTTGTTGTTATTTCTTCTTTGATGGTTAAACGTAAGAAATAGTAACATATTTCATTCAATTTATTTATTATAATATCTTATATTTTTTTCCTATTACAACATTGTTCTTTGCAAAATATAGGACGGTAATCCATATACAAAGAAAATCACTTCTATAACTAGGAAATTTTTACAAGTATAATGTTCTAATAAGCTTCTTTCATTCTTGAGTGAAGGCTTTACAACTTTACTTTGTCTTCTCCTTTACTGTGTAATCTTTAGTAACACAAGTGTTTAAAAAAATTGAAATTTCAATTTAATTATTTTTTTTATTTTCAAAAAAATATTATAGTTCTATTATGACTTACCATTTGGCATTAATTTTCATTTTGACTTTTCTCTTTTTAGTTACTTCTTACCTTAAATGATTAATTTTTTTATGAGATTTACATACATTATATACGGTTGATGATGTGGTTATGGGTGAGCTCAAGTGGATTTTTGAGAGTTTTGACCTTGAGTTTCACTTGAGTTATGAAGGAAAAGTTTGCAATGATGGAAAGGTATGCAATGTGGCTTTTTAATTTTTTTTTTTTTTTTTATAGAAAAGTTTCCAACCATTTTTTTTAACAAAATGGACGACAAAACTCAAGAGGCCATCAAAATTAAAGACTAATTTTTTATTCAGAATTAAGCAAAAAAGAAAAAAATGTAGAATCTTTTAGGTTCAGGTTCATGTCGTTAATTGTAACGCTTGTGTTTCCAGGCTTTCCATTTTTAGCAATGTAATGGTCTAGGTTAACCTTTGTAACCCGTTTTGAAATAATAAGATTGTATTATTTGAATATTATGTGTTTTGTGCTTAATTGCTTAATTATGTGGTTTGATTAATTAAGAATAAAAATAAGCGTCAAAATTTAAGTGTAAAATAAACTTGATATCTTTAGATAATGTTGTAGTAGTTGAAACAAGGTTTCCGAAGATATAAAGAATGCCGAAATCCGAGTTATAACGAGGAAGTTATGATCTGTCGAAGTTTTGCGACAGAACCGGCAACGCTGAATAACGTAAAAAGTGAAATTTACGTTAAAGCGATATTTAGCCTTAGTGATCTAAACGAGAATCGAAGATCTCGTTGTTAGTATCAAAGCGATAAAAAGTTAGGCGAGAACGGGCGTCAAACGAAGAAGTTATGAATTTATAACGAAAATTTCTCTCCCGGCCTATTAAAAATAAATAATAAAAATAAAGTCAAAATTAGCCGACGGAGTCTAAACGAAAGTTGTGGAGCGTAGTCTCACCTTTCCGTGGATATAAAGAACGTCGAAAACGGATTTCGTATGAAGAAGATATGAATTTCCGAAGTTTATTAATTAATTTGTATTTATATTTAATTGAAAATTCGGAAGCATTATCCGAAGACGAGTCACAGCTCTGATCCGAGGTACGCGCCGCGTACTCGAGTACGCCCCGCGTACAGCCAAACTGTCGACACTTCGGATGACGCATGCAGTGATGCAATTCGGAGGCAGTACGCGCTGCGTACTGCTGTACGCCCCGCGTAAATGAGGCTTCCAGCCTCTATAAAAAGGATCTGAAGGCAGCCGGCCAAATTTGTAACAGCCCGGAATCTCAAGTATTGTTAAAATTATATTTTGGGGTGTTTTAAAGGGGGGACTCGGCGAGTTGGAGCCAGACTCGCCGAGTAGGATCGCAGACCTGGTCGCGGGTTCGCGACTGGACTCGACGAGTCAGATAGGGACTCGGCGAGTCTGCGCTGTTTAGCGAAAACCCTAGCCGTTCAGGTTTGGGACGTATAAAGAGGACTTATTTGTAACAGCCCAGAATTTCAGGTATTTCTTTAAATTATTTTTGGGGCATAATTAGGAG